GTGTGGTAGGAAGATCATGTGTTCCTGTGAGGACCGTGGTAGTGCGGGAGGAAGATCACGTGTTCCTGTGAGGACTGTGGTAGTGCGGTAGGAAGATCACGTGTTCCTGCGAGGACTGTGGTAGTGTGGTAGGAAGATCACGTGTTCCTGTGAGGACTGTGGTTTGTCGTAGCAAGATCACGTGTTCCTGTGAGGACTATGGTAGTGTGGTAGGAAGATCACATGTTCCTGTGAGGACTGTGGTAGTGTGGTAGAAAGAGCACGTGTTCCTGCGAGGACTGTGGTAGTGTGGTAGGAAGATCACGTGTTCCTGTGAGGACTGTGGTAGTGTGGTAGGAAGATCACATGTTCCTGTGAGGACTGTGGTAGTGTGGTAGGAAGATCACGTGTTCCTGCGAGGACTGTGGTGGTGTGGTAGGAAGATCACGTGTTCCTGTGAGGACTGTGGTGGTGTGGTAGGAAGATCACGTGTTCCTGTGAGGACTGTGGTGGTGTGGTAGGAAGATCACGTGTTTCTGTGAGGACCGTGGTAGTGCGGGAGGAAGATCACGTGTTCCTGTGAGGACTGTGGTAGTGTGGTAGGAAGATCACGTGTTCCTGCGAGGACTGTGGTAGTGCGGTAGGAAGATCACGTGTTCCTGCGAGGACTGTGGTAGTGCGGTAGGAAGATCACGTGTTCCTGTGAGGACTGTGGTGGTGCGGTAGGAAGATCACGTGTTCCTGTGAGGACTGTGGTGGTGCGGTAGGAAGATCACGTGTTCCTGTGAGGACTGTGGTGGTGTGGTAGGAAGATCACGTGTTCCTGCGAGGACTGTGGTGGTGCGGTAGGAAGATCACGTGTTCCTGCGAGGACTGTGGTGGTGTGGTAGGAAGATCACGTGTTCCTGCGAGGACTGTGGTAGTGTGGTAGGAAGATCACGTGTTCCTGCGAGGACTGTGGTGGTGCGGTAGGAAGATCACGTGTTCCTGCGAGGACTGTGGTAGTGCGGTAGGAAGATCACGTGTTCCTGCGAGGACTGTGGTGGTGTGGTAGGAAGATCACGTGTTCCTGCGAGGACTGTGGTGGTGTGGTAGGAAGATCACGTGTTCCTGCGAGGACTGTGGTGGTGCGGTAGGAAGATCACGTGTTCCTGTGAGGACTGTGGTGGTGTGGTAGGAAGATCACGTGTTCCTGCGAGGACCGTGGTAGTGCGGGAGGAAGATCACGTGTTCCTGTGAGGACTGTGGTAGTGCGGTAGGAAGATCACGTGTTCCTGTGAGGACTGTGGTGGTGTGGTAGGAAGATCACGTGTTCCTGCGAGGACTGTGGTGGTGTGGTAGGAAGATCATGTGTTCCTGCGAGGACTGTGGTAGTGCGGTAGGAAGATCACGTGTTCCTGCGAGGACTGTGGTGGTGTGGTAGGAAGATCACGTGTTCCTGTGAGGACTGTGGTGGTGTGGTAGGAAGATCACGTGTTCCTGCGAGGACTGTGGTGGTGTGGTAGGAAGATCACGTGTTCCTGTGAGGACTGTGGTAGTGTGGTAGGAAGATCACGTGTTCCTGCGAGGACTGTGGTAGTGCGGTAGGAAGATCACGTGTTCCTGCGAGGACTGTGGTGGTGTGGTAGGAAGATCACGTGTTCCTGTGAGGACTGAGGTTTGTTGTAGGAAGATCACGTGTTCCTGTGAGGACTGTGGTGGTGTGGTAGGAAGATCACGTGTTCCTGTGAGGACTGTGGTGGTGTGGTAGGAAGATCACGTGTGCCTGTGAGGACTGTGGTAGTGTGGTAGGAAGATCACGTGTTCCTGTGAGGACTGTGGTGGTGTGGTAGGAAGATCACGTGTGCCTGTGAGGACTGTGGTAGTTCGGTAGGAAGATCACGTGTTCCTGTGAGGACTGTGGTGGTGTGGTAGGAAGATCACGTGTTCCTGTGAGGACCGTGGTAGTGTGGTAGAAAGAGCACGTGTTCCTGTGAGGACTGTGGTTTGTCGTAGGAAGATCACGTGTTCCCGTGTGGACTGTGGTAGTGTTGTTGGATGCTGATTGTGGGCACGTTGCAGGGTTCAGACTGCTAGCACTCACCTCATGGCATTCTCATCCCTCGTCCCAGTTCTGGGTGTGAAGCGAAAGCTCAGAGCAATTACTTGGTTAAAACTTTACGAGACCAGTAAGTGTTTGGAGCTGGAACTTGAACCTGGACCTTTGGATTGTTAAACCAGGAAGTGTCTCCCGATATCAGTTGGGTTCCATGAAATTTCAGGAAGAGAACTTGAAATGAGGCTGTGCTTGAACTAATCAGGCTGTAAAGTTCTCTCTTCCCCCCCATTCCCCCCTTCTCCCCCCTCGCTCATCCTCCTCCCTCTCTTGTTCCCTTCCCTGATACAGCAAGCATTTGATCTGCTCATGGGTTTGTGTGGGCAGAGATTCAGGTGTGGCACAGTGGGGACACTCGGCTCTGCTGCAGGATCTGGGGTGTCCCTGGAAGACTCGAAGACTACTGAAGTCAGAAGAGCTTGAGTCTCCACGTCTGGCTGTCCGCTGACGCAGGCTGGCTGCTGGGGCACCTGTGGTGGTGTTGCTTGTGGCTGCCTTGAGCTTCCTCATGGAGTGGTGGCTGGGTTGCGAGAGAGAGCACCCGAGAGAGCAGGTGGCAGCTGGATTGCCTTTGAAAGCGATTTCATCTTTATTGAGGTTCACATACAACATAATTCACCTGTGCAATTTCACATGCAACAGCACCACACATGTAAAGTGTTTAAGGAAAAAAAACCACCAACCCCTCTACGCTTTATCATTCCCAGCCTCTCTCCTTCCCCGCCCCCTCCCATTCTTAAGCAGCCGCTGTCTACTTTCTGTCAGCCTAGAATTACTGCCTGTTCCGGACATTTCATATAAATGAGAATGTGTTTTTTTTGTGTGTGTGTGTGACTGACTTAGTGCACTTAGCATGTCTTCAAGGTGTTATCCATGTTACAGTATGTATCAGCACTTAAATTTTTTTTTTTTAAATTTATTTGACAGGTAGAGTTACAGACAGTGAGAGACAGAGACAGAGAGAAAGGTCTTCCATCCAGTGGTTCACCCCCAAAATGGCCGCAATGGCTGGAGCTACGATGATCTGAAGCCAGGAGCCAGGTGCCTTTTCCCGGTCTCCCAAGCCGGTGCAGGGCCCAAGCACTTGTGCCATCCTCCACTGCCTTCCCAGGCCACAGCAGAGAGCTGGACTGGAAGAGGAGCAACCGGGACTAGAACCCGGCGCCCATGTGGGATGCCGGCACCGCAGGCGGAGGATTAACCTAGTGTGCCACGGCGCCGGCCCCCAGCACTTCATTTTTATAGCCGAACAGTAGACTGTTGTGGGACTGTATCGCACTCCGTGTATGCGGTTACCCAGCAAGAGACCTTTGAGTGCCGTCCTCCTTTGGTTGCTGTGAATACGCTGCCGTGGACAGCTTTTGTGTGGATGTCTTTATTTCTCTTGGGCTTATTCTAGAGCTGGAATTACTGAGTTACATGGAGTCTGAGGAACGACCAGACTTTGTTTTTTAAATTTTAAAGATTTATTTATTTATTTGAGAGGCAGAGCTAGAGAAAGAGAGAGTTCCATCTGCTGGTTCACTCCTCAATGGCCACAGCAGCCAGGGTTGGGCCAGGCTGCCATCAGGAGGTTGGAACTCCATCCGGGTCTCCCATGTGGATGGCAGGAGCCCACCTACTTTGGCCATCTTCTGCTGCTTTCCCAGGCGTGTTAGCAGGAAGCTGGATTGGAAGTGGAGCAGCTGGGTCTCAAATTGGCACTAGCATGGGGTGCTGGCGGTGCCTTAACCCGCTGTGCCACAGTGCCAGCCCCCATGCCCGTCCAAAGTGGCTGCACCAGTGTTCGTTCCTGGCAGCAGGGTGGGAGATGTCTAGCTGCTCTGCATTCTCGCCAAGGCTTGTGTTTGGTGTTTTAATTTTGCCCTCTCCAGTGGAGGAAGTGGTGTCACTGTGGCCGTGACTCCCTGATGGCACCGAGCATCTGTCTATGTGCTTCCTGGCCGCTCTTGTGTTGTCTTTGGAGAAATGTCTGTTCAGATCCTCTGTTCCTTTTTCAGTTGGTCTTTTTACTGAGTTTTTTTTTTTTTTTAAGATTTGTTTATTTTACTTGAAAGGTGGGTAGAGGCCCAAACGGCCTCGAAGAATGGAGCTGAGCTCTCCCGAAGCCAAGAGCCAGGAGCTTCTTCCTGGTCTCCCACGCTGGTGCAGGGGCCCACCGTCTTGGGTCATTTTCTGCTGCTTTCCCAGGCTAGAGCAGAGAGTTGGAAGTGGAGCAGCAGGGACCTGAACCGGCGCCCACATGGGATTCTGGCGATGCAGGCAGAGGCTTAGCCCACTACACCACAGTGCTGCCCCTCTATTGAGTTTTAAGGGTTGGTTGGTTGTTCTAGATACAAGTTATTTATAAGATACATGACTTGCAAAGAATTTATCTTATTCTGTGAATTACCCTTCTACTTTGTAATGTGCCCTTTGAAGCACAAAAATGTTTAATTTTGATGATGTCAGATTTATCTCTCATTGTTGCTTGTGATGTCAGAGAACCATTTGCTTAACAAAGGTCACGAAGATTTATTGCTGTGCTTTCTGCTAAGAGTTTTGTAGGAGGGGCCGGCGCTGTTGCACAGCGGGTTAAAGCCCTGACTTGAAGCATATGGGCGCTGGTTTGAGATTGGCTGCTGCACTTCTGATCCAGCTCTTTGCTATGACCTGGGAAAGCAGTAGAAGATGGCCTGAGACCTTGGGCCCCTGCACCCTCGTGGGAGACCAGGAAGAAGCTCCTGGCTCCTGGCTGCGGATCTGCGCAGCTTCGGCTGTTGCGGTCAAGCAGCCAGTTGGAGCGTGAACCATTGGATGGAAGACCTCTCTCTCTCTCTCTCTCTCTCTCTCCTCTCTATGTAACTCTGACTTTCAAATAAATAAATCTTTTTTTAAAAAAAGAGATTTGTAGGTTTTGCTTTCTTTTTTTTTTTAATAATTTTTATTTTTTTTATTTATTTTTGACAGGCAGAGTGGACAGTGAGAGAGAGAGACAGAGAGAAAGGTCTTCCTTTTGCCGTTGGTTCACCCTCCAGTGGCCGCCGCGGCCGGCGCACCGCGCTGATCCGATGGCAGGAGCCAGGTGCTTCTCCTGGTCTCCCCTGGGGTGCAGGGCCCAAGCACTTGGGCCATCCTCCACTGCACGCCCTGGCCACAGCAGAGAGCTGGCCTGGAAGAGGGGCACCACGACAGAACCAGCGCCCCAACCGGGACTAGAACCCGGGGTGCCGGTGCCGCAAGGCGGAGGATTAGCCTAGTGAGCCGCGGCGCCGGCCCTGTAGGTTTTGCTTTCTAAGACGTTTGGTTTTGAGTTCTTCTTGCGTAGGTGAGGAGTGAGGCTGCAGCTTCGCTCTGCTGCCCGTGGGCGGCTGGTCATCCCGGCGCTGGCTAGACAGGCAGTCCTGTCCTCGTCGAGGAAAAGCTCGGCGTCCTGTAAGCGTGAGGATTTACCTCTGCGCACTCAGTTCTATTTCTTATGCCAGGACTGTGCTCTCTCGGTTACTTGTGCCTTTCATTTGTTTTGAGATCTGGAATTGTGAGCCCTGTCTTTGTTCTTTTTCAAGGTAGTCTATTCTGGTCCCTTGAATTTCCATATCAGTTTCTGGATCAGATTATCAGTTTCTGTAAGGAGCCAGCTGGGAATTTGATGGGATTGCATTGAATTTGTGTTGAATTTGAGAAGCTTGGACATCTTAATGGTGTTCAGTCTTGATATACGAGCATGGGTTTCTCCATTTGTTTAGGTCTTTAATTTATTTCAATAGTCCCCCCCCCCCCCCCCCCAATCTTAAACAGTTTATTTATTTGAGAGACTGAGAGAGGGAGAAACAGTGCCAGAGAGAAATGTCTGATCCACTGGTTCACTCCCCAAATGCTTGCAACATACAGGACTGGGCCTGGTTGAAGCCCAGAGTTGGGAACTCAGTTCACATCTCTACGTGGGTGGCGGGGACCCTGCTGCTTGAGCCATCCTCTGTGGCCTCCCAGGGTGTGTGTTGGTAGGAAGCTGGACCAAGGAAGGGAGCCAGGGCTCAGAGCCTGCACTCTGACCTGGCTGTGCTGTCCCAAGTGGCGACCTGACTGCTACACCAAACTGCCACCCTCAGTGTTTTGTAGTTTTCAAGGCACTCATTTTACACTTTGTGAAATCTGTTCTTAGATACTCCTTTTTGGGTTGCTATTACAAGTAGAATAGTTTTTTTTAACTTCAGTTTTGGATGGTTTATTGCATGTGAGCAGAAACAGGATTGCTTTTGTATGTTGATTGTGCCTCCTGCAGGCGTGCTGAGCTTGCTTTTCTCATTCTGATGGTTTTTAGAAGCTTGCAGAGGATTTTCTCTTACCAGATCCCGTTATCTTGTGAGGCAGTTTTACTTCCTCCTCTGAGATCTGGACGCCTTTCATTTCTCATCCTTGCCTAATTTTGCTGGCTGGAACCTCTAGTACATTGTTGAGTGAAAGTGGTGAGAGTGGATATCCTTGTCTTTTTTTCTGAGTTTAGGGGGGAAAATTTAATCTTTCACCATTAAGAGATTAGTATGAGTCTTTTTGGTGTATATTATTTAAAGATTTATTTATTTGAGAAGCAGAGTTACAGACAGAGGGAGAGACAGAGAGAAGTCTTCCATCCGCTGGTTCACTCCCAAATGGCCACAATGGCTGGAGCTGAGCCGATCCGAAGCCAGGAGCCAGGAGCTTCTTTTGGGTCTCCCATGCGGGTAAAGGTGCCCAAGTACTTGGGCCATGTTCTGCTGCTTGTCCAGGCCACAGCAGAGGGCTAGATTGGAAGAGGAGCAGCCGGGACATGAACAGGTGCCCATAGGGATACTGGTGCTGCAGGCGGGGGCTTAGCCCACTGGGCCACAGCGCTGACCCCTGGTGTATATTATTTAGATATTCCTGGTTTACTGAGAATTTCATAAAGAGGTGTTGAATTTTGTCAGATGCTTTTTCTGCGTGTATTGAAATGCTCTGGTGGATTTAGCCCTTTCTCTTACATTGAAGGAGTTTTGGTTAAGCCAGGCTGTGCTCCTTTTCATGTGTAGCTGGGTTTGACTTGAGGTGTTTCGTTGGGGTTTTATGTGCTCAGTTGGGGTTGTTACTGGCCTGCAGTTTTCTTTCCTTGTGATGCTTTTGTGTGTTTTGGTGTTAGGAATCCTGGCCTTCTGGCCTGAGCTGGGAGGCGTTCCCTCCTTTTCCAGATCCTTGAGAGGTTTAGGAAGATTGGTGCTGATTCCCATGTTCGGTAGCATGTACCTGTGACGTCAGCGGGCTTCCTTTGTGAGCAGCATTTCGACTTTGCGTGGCAAGTGTCTGTGCAGATTTTCGCATTCTGTTTGAGTAAGTTTTTGTTGTTTGTGTCTTTCTAGGAATTTGTCCCTTTCCCCAGGTTATCTTGCTTATTGATATTGTTTGTGACATTTGTTTGTGATAGTCTCGTGTAATTTGTTTCATTTTTGTTAAGTCTGTATAATGTCCTTTCCCTCGTTTCCGACTTCAGTCATTTGTGTCTTTTTCTTTTAGTCATTCTGGCTGTTGGCTTGTCATCTTTTCAGAGAGTCATCTTTTAGTCTTGTGGATTTTCTGGGGCCTCAGATTCTACATCAGTAACCAGGCTAGTGGGTTTTTTGACCTCTCCTGGAGCGTTGCTGCAGCCCTGTGGCTACCTGGCCCTGTGGCTGTTTGGCTGTTGTGTCCCCCGGTTGCTGTGGCTCTGAGCAGTTGCCTCTTCTCTCTCTGATGGTGGTCAGGATCAGGCGAGTGGGAAGGGCTCCTGCTTCCTCCCACTTCTCCAGAAAGTCCTTCTGCCATCCATGTGAACCTTGTGGCCAGCTGGCTTCCTGTTCAGAGTACCCCCTTTCACACACATAATGAAACCCCACAGAGCAGCTGTGGAGCTCCTGCATTGAAACAGACAAACAAAATCCAGAGGAGTGAACTTGCAGAAAGAGAGAAATCGTCATGGTGACGGAGGTCTGCCCTGTGCAGGTTCACACTGTGTGTTACTGAGACCTGTGCCTGGAGCGAAGGGACCAGCACTTCCCTCACTCCAGAGGCGCAGTGCAGGGCAGCGGTGACCTCTGTGAATGACATGCGCTAGGGTTTGCTGGAACCCAGCGTCTGGGTGGTGCTGTGTGGTCATCCCTTGCTCCCGTGGGAGTCTGGTTTTGCAGGCTGCTGGGTGCCTGTGACCTGGATGGGCCAGTTGAGTTTTCTGTCTCTGTTCTTCCATCTTCAGATGGGAAAGATCCTGTCTGCCTCTCGGGGTTGTGGAGATGAGACTCTGGCCGCCTGCTGTCCTCTAGAGCAGTGCTGCGTGTCTGTTGTCCTCTCTTGCTGTTCCCTGCGTTGACTCTCTGCGGTAGCTCACACTGAAGAACAGGGCACTGGGCCCCATGGGGGCTGTCGTGGGTGGTTGCTGCTGAGCTGTGGGCACCCGGTGGTAGTCACAGTGATGGGCCTCGCTTTGTGGGTTCCACTCCTGTGGTGATGGTACCCAGCCCCAGCGCCCACTGTCTCCTCCCAGTGGTCAGGGCGGTGCTGTGGTTTGCCCCTGGTGCCCCGGGCAATGCTGGCCGAGTGGACGGGCCAGAGCTTGGCCTGCAGGTGTCCTTCCCGTGTGAGGGCCTGTTGCTAACTCCCGTGTCCGCAGAGACGCCCGTGGTGTTTCAGGTCTCTGCTTAGCAGTTTCGTCCGAGATCACGTCATTCCCTGCTAGCTTCTCCTGGGAGGGAGAAGTCACAGCTTAGCCTTGCAGGGTTCCCGTCTCTCTTCTGCATCTCCCTCCTCTCCTGGGGGGGTGGGACCCTCGAGGGCACGCACTTCTCCTCACTGCATGGATGGTCTGAGCTGCCACTTCCTTCTTCCCAGCTGCCCCTTTGTGGGCCTATCTCTGCCTGGAGCCTTCTGCCTGCCCTGCTTGGCTCCTGTCTGAGTGTCAGCAGTTTTTCCTCAAGGAACCTTCCTTCCGAGACTGGCCTATCACGCGCTGCGCTGCCAGTTCACACCGCCCAGGCCTGAGTGAGTTGTGAGGTCAGGCACAGTGTGAATGAGCTATGAGGTCACCCACGGGCATGAGTGAGCTGTGAGGTCACGCACGGGCGTGAGTGAGCTGTGAGGTCAGGCACGGTGTGAGCTGTGAGGTCACGCAGGGGCCTGAGTGAGCTGTGAGGTCACGCATGGTGTGAGTGAGCTGTGAGGTCAGGCACGGGCCTGAGTGAGCTGTGAGGTCACACACGGGCGTGAGTGAGCTGTGAGGTGACCCACGGGCCTGAGTCAGCTGTGAGGTCACGCACGGGCCTGAGTGAGCTGTGAGGTCAGGCACGGGCCTGAGGGAGCTGTGAGGTGACCCACGGGCCTGAGTGATCTGTGAGGTCACCCACGGGCCTGAGTGAGCTGTGAGGTCACCCACGGGCATGAGTGAGCTCTGAGGTCAGGCACAGGCATGAGTGAGCTGTGAGGTCAGGCACGGGCCTGAGGGAGCTGTGAGGTCAGGCACGGTGTGAGTGAGCTGTGAGGTCAGGCACGGGCCTGAGTGAGCTGTGAGGTCAGGCATGGGCCTGAGGGAGCTGTGAGGTCACGCACGGGCGTGAGGGAGCTGTGAGGTCAGGCACGGTGTGAGTGAGCTGTGAGGTCAGGCACGGTGTGAGCTGTGAGGGCACGCACGGCCTGTGTGAGCTGTGAGGTCAGGCACGGTGTGAGTGAGCTGTGAGGGCACGCACGGGCCTGAGTGAGCTGTGAGGTCCTCTGTGCTACACGCTGTGGTTGGTTTTCTGCCTCCCCAGCTCATCGTAGAGTCAGTGGCCCACAAATGTTTGCTAAATTTTGCTGAGAAATTTTAGGCCATAAAAGCAAATGTTCGATATAATTAAAATCTTGTGCCGTGGACATGGGAATGGTGGACTGAGTAGCAGCTGAATAGAAAACCGAGAAGGACCCAGTGTGCTGTTTTAATGTGTGTTGAACATGGTGTCCTCAGGCCAGTGGGAAAAGAAGCAATTGAATAAATGGCATTGGAATAGTTTATTATTTTCTTTAGAAACGTTTGCCAAGCAATAAACAGCAATAATAAATTTTAGGTGGATTGAGGATGTACCAAAAGGGAAAAACAACAACACAGAAGTTTGAAGCCAGCACGTAACCCCAGTATTTCTGGGGTGAGCCTTGCCCAGGATGGGCCCCAGCGTGGACCACAGGTGGAGGAGAAGAGATTGACTTCTCTCCTGTGGCAGGAAAGCAGACACGCCATCCCTGTCAGTTTTCTGTGGCTGCCCTGACAAACTGCCGCAAATGTACACAGGTAACACAGACACTGTCTGCTGGTTCTGGAGGACAGGGTGCGGGGCGGGCCCCGGGGGCTGCTTCCTCAGGGGGACTCCTGGGAGGGCATTTCTGTTCCCCCTCGGGCTCTGGAGACGGCTTCGTCCCCTGACACGGCCCCTTTCCCAGTTGTCCAGTCAGCAGTGCAGTCTCTGTGACCCCTGGAGAGGTCCCGGGTGCTTTCCCCTGTCAGGGTCCGTGTGCAGAGCCCCTGTGCCGCGTGAGCTGACACACTCAGCGAGTCTGCGCGTCGGGAAGGACGGGGACGGCTTTGGTGGGACCGCCATGTTGCCCGCTACCCTGCCTGAAGGCTAGGACTCCGTGTTTACAGGTGTCTCACAGATCAGCGCGAGGAGGTGAGGCCCTCCCTGGACAGTGGCAGCAGGAAGAGGCACTCATGGACCAAGAAGGCGTGCAGCCTGCACTGCGAGCGTTGCTCCTGACAGCGTCTGTCGCAGGGGCCGGGGATTTGGCAGCCTGTCCATGTTTTGTCTTTAGATACTGACTCCAGGGGCCCACTCTGGCGTGGCGGGTGAAGCTGCAGCCTGTGGCACCGGCATCCCATGGGGGCAGCTGTTCAAGTCCTGGTGGCGCCACTTCCAATCCAGCTCTCTGCTAGTATGCTTGGGAGGGCAGCAGAGGGCCCAAGTGCCTGGGCCTCTGCACCCATGTGGGGGACCTGGAGAAAGCTTCTGGCTCCTGGCTTCGGTGTGGCCCAGCCCTGACCATTGCAGCCATTTGTGGACTTAACCAGCAGATGGAAGACTCTCTGTCTGTCTGCCTCTTCCTCTCTGTAACTCAGCCTTTCAAATAAATAAATAATCTTATAAATAAATAAATAAATAGCTGATTTCAAGCCCAGTGGACTTATGAATGTGTATGGTGACTTGCCTTGGGTTCCTCATAAAATGGAAGACAAATTCCCTTAAAAGTGTAACCAACAAACACTTTACAGTTTTGTTGTCAGCACAAAGTGTGGTTGGTTGAGTCATCTTCCAAAATCACTAAGGCAGCATGATCAGGTCTTAAGTATACTTGAACTAAACCCTGCAGAGAAAGTATTTCCTTACCCGAGACTCGTTGCCTCTGGCTCGTCAGGCTGCAAGTGAGTACACCAACGTGGGAGAGCAAGTGCACCAGTTTAAAATACACTCTGATGATCACGTTGCAAACCAGCCCAGGGAAAAAAGAGTGACTTAAAATGTACCTTTAGGGGCCAGCACTGTGGTGTAGCGGATAAAGCCGCCGCCTGCAGTGCCAGCATCCCATATGGGCACCAGTTCAAGTCCCAGCTGCTCCACTTCCAATCCAGCTCTCTGCTATAGCCTGGCAAAGCAGAAGATGGTGGCCCAAGTCCTTGGGTCCCTGCACCCACATGGGAGACCCGGAAGAAGCTCCTGGCTCCTGGCTTTAGATCGACACAGTTCCGGCCATTGTGGCCAGTTGGGGAGTGAACCAGTAGATGGAAGGTCTCTCTCTCTCTCTCTCTCTCTCTCTCTCTCTCTGCGCCTTTCCTCTCTCTTTGTAATTCTGACTTTCAAATAAATACATAATCTTAAAAAAAAATGCACCTTTAACTGGTAACAGGCTTACTGGACTTCTTATAGACACACCTCTATGAACATATCTCCCTTCTTGTCTCTTATGGGTTAAGAGAAAGTTAAGAATTCAAGTTTATGGGGCCAGTGCTGTGGTGTGATAGACTAAACTTCTGGCTGTGGTGTCGGCATCCCATATGGGCACCAGTTCGAGTCCCAGCTGCTCTTCTTTGATCCAGCTCTCTGCTGTGGCCTGAGAAAGCAGTGGAAGATGGCCCAAGTGTTTGGGGGCCCTGCACCTGTGTGAGTGACCTGGACAAAGTTCCTGACTCCTGGCTTTGGATTGGCTCAGCTCTGGCTGTTGTGACCATTTGGGAGTGAACTAGCAGATGGAAGACCTTTCTCTCTCTCTCTCTCTTTGTAAATCTGCCTCTCAAATAAATAAAATCTTAAAGGGAAAAGCAAGTTCATGCATTAGAAAAAGCAGGAAAAACATAGGAATACTCAAAATCCACTCTTATTCTGTTACTGACTTCAGTCCTACGCATGGCACGGATAAAGTCAGATTACTGGGTGTAGAAAGAAAGCCGATTCTTGAATTCTTTTGAGGGCTTCGTTGCCTGTGGTCTGAAGTCCAGTGTCGGTACCCTCAGAGACGCTGGTTTTCGAGGCACGGTTACTATCCTCTTACGCCCGGTGGGGCCGGTAGGGCTCAGTGCTTTAGAAGGGGCGGGTGAAGTGTTGCATGCAGCATCAGGTCGAGGTAACCAGACTGAGACTCACTGGTCCTTACGACTGAGTCTGAGAGGTCAATGCTTAAAAAAAAATTAGATTTATTTATTTATTTGAAAGAGTTACAGAAAGAGAGAAGGAGAGACAGAGATCTTCCATTTGCTGGTTCACCCCTCAGATGGCCGAAATAGGGCTGGGCCAGGCTGAATCCAGGAGTCTGGAGCTTCTTCTGAGTCTCCCACATGGGTGCAGGGGCCCAAGGACTTGGGCCATCTTCTGCTGCTTTCCCAGGTGCCTTAGCAGGGAGCTGGGTCAGAAGTGGAGCAGCTGGAACTTGAATCGGCGCCCATAGGGGATGCCAGCACTGCAGGCGGAGGCCTAGCCTGCCGTAGCTATACCACAATGCAAGCCCTAAAAGGTCGATTTGAAGGCCAGGGAGGTACCCACTGCCATTAGCCTCTTTCCTGTGTGCTTGTATCCCAGGCCTGCCATTCTGTGGATGTGGCCTGCAGAGGTTGTGTGCCAGCGTTTGTTGAGTGCGGTTTCTGTCATGGTGAGCGGTTTTAAACAAGTTGAAGGCCTCACTGTTAATGCTGTTGTGTCGGTCACGTTGTGTGTGCCCTGTGACGTGAGAGGAGATGGCACAGGCCAGGGTTGGGGTCTCTGGGGCTCTGAAAGGTTTCTGAAAAGTTCTGAAAATTTCAGGGTAGCAGTAGGTTTACGAGGATTTTCAGGAAAATTATTGGAGAGTCCACGTGCACCTCATCTCGTGCTGTTAGGTTTGTGTTTGCTGTGTGTATCTTCTTTTTGTGTATCAAACAATACGTAGAAAATAAATTATTTTAGCAAAGTAAAGAATGAGGTCGTGATCCAGGGAAGTCGTGATGTGTCCTGAGAAGGTGGGGTCTCCCGCACTTAAGGCTGTGTGAAGACATGTCTGTGTGTGTCCTCACCCCCCATCGCCCTACTGGCCCCTTCTGAGTCGACCACAGCAGTTGGGACGTCTGGGGACAGTGGCTCCAGCAAACAGGGATTTTTGTCCAGGCTTTGAGCGGCAGCTCAGTGGAGCCGCCACAGCCGTGCTCTTCTCCTTTGTGCCCCCATGGTGGCTTCTTCTGTCCCGCTTGCCAAGCGGCTGAGGTGCCCTGAGCCACTTCCGTGTCCCAGGTAGGGTCGCTGGGGGAGCTGCGGTCCAGGGGTGCTCATCGCAGCTGGCTTTTCTGTTCGGAAGGCGAATGCCTCTTTCTCCTGGGCCTGCTCTGTGTCTGTGGCCAGCCCTGTGTCTTTTGTTCCTGCCTGCGTTCCCATCCGATTTTCTAATAAAGCCATGAGATTTTTTTTTTTTTTTTGACAGGCAGAGTGGACAGTGAGAAAGAGACAGAGAGAAAGGTCTTCCTTTGCCGTTGGTTCACCCTCCAATGGCCGCCGCGGCCGGCGCACCACGCTGATCCGATGGCAGGAGCCAGGAGCTTCTCCTGGTCTCCCATGGGGTGCAGGGCCCAAGCACCTGGGCCATCCTCCACTGCACTCCCGGGCCACAGCAGAGAGCTGGCCTGGAAGAGGGGCAACTGGGACAGAATCTGGCGCCCCAACCGGGACTAGAACCCGGTGTGCCGGCGCCGGCCCGCCATGAGATCTTTTTAAAAATTATATTTACCTTCATCGTCTAACTTGGCTTTCGATCTTCTGACAAAATGGTCCCAGGTGAGAATTCCTGGTTAAGTTCTAGTGCCCCTGGCAGGTGAGAATTCCCAGGTGGGTTCTAGTCCTGCCCACGGCACAGGCTGCGGTGACCGCGGCTTGCTGCTGCCGCCGTCCTGAGGGGATGCGCGAGGTCTGTGGGGTAGTGGCTCCCTGTGCCGGCCGCATTCTCAGGGAGGGCCTGCGTGCCCGCTTGTGTGTGGGCGTGTGGGTCGCTCCTAACTAGGCCCTCAGGAGCCCGAGTGGCCACAGGACGCGTGCCTGCGGTGGGGAGTTGCCCCTCCACGCTGTGGGTGCTGGGTGCTGGGCCTTCCTGAGCCTGTGGAGCTCTTTGGACAGTGCAGAAATGCTCACGTGTTTTCTCTTTCTGAACAGCATCCGGCACGTGTACGGAGCGCAGCACCCGCCGTTTGACCCGCTGCTGCACGGCACGTAAGTGGGACTTCACCCTCTTCGTCCTCATGTGGTTCCTGGCCCTCGGGTGCTGAGCGCCGAGGCCACCAGCGCCTGCCCGCTCCCCTCGAGCTCCCTGCGCTGCCCTGGAGGAGAGCAGGTTTGCGTTCAGCTAACGCAAGTCATGCGGTTGCTTCCTGTGGCCTCGCTGGCCGTGCTCAGGTCATCCTGTGGAGCGGAGGGCAGTCGCGGAAGCCACAGCCTGGTGCTGGAGGGCTGGGCACAGCAGGGCCTCAGGAGAGCAGGGAGCCGGCACCCTCGAGCAGGTTCTCTCCAGCACACTCTGCCCGGGTCTTGGCTCACCCACCGGAGCGGGCGGGAGTAGAGGTGTCGGACTTGGTGTGGTTGGGGTGGGGAGCCCATGCGTGTTGTCACTCTAGGCGGGATCTCGCTAGGTCGCGAGTCTCCGTGTCCGTGGGAAGGCCTCTGCTTCCTGCACATCCCCTCCTGCCCCATCCTCAGCAGGAGCTCCGCTGAGAGCCGGGGAACGGGAGCAGGTGTGTGCAGGTCCTGGCCCGTGTGCCTGCGGATAGCAGAGGCTGCTCTGTGTGGCTCTCCTCCTCCTGTCTGATGGCAGAGGCTGCTCCGTGTGGCTCTCCTCCTCCTGTCTGATGGCAGAGGCTGCTCCGTGTGGCTCTCCTCCTCCTGTCTGATGGCAGAGGCTGCTCCGTGTGGCTCTCCTCCTCCTGTCCGATGGCAGAGGCTGCTCCGTGTGGCTCTCCTCCTCCTGTCTGATGGCAGAGGCTACTCAGTGTGGCTCTCCTCCTCCTGTCTGCATCCTCGTGACCTTTGCCTCCTGTTGGCTTCTTATCTCCATGAACCGTGTTTGCTTTTTCATGTCACTCTCAGATAGATGAAGCCACCTTTTTACTTAAATTTTTAAAAGGTTTATTTTATTTATTTGAAAGGCAGAGGGAGAGACAGAGAGAGACAGGGGATGAGTGGGGAGAGAGAGAGATCTTCCATCTGCTGATTCACTCCCCAGATGGCCACAGTGACCAGGGCTGGGCCATATAGAAGCCAGGAGCCTGGAACTCCATCCAGTTCTTCCTCGTGGGTGGCAGGGTTTCAAGTAGTTGGGCCGCCCTCTGCTGCTCTCTCAGGTGCTTTAGCAGGGACCTGGATGGGGAGCGGAGCAGCCAGCACTTGAATGAGCCCTTGCCTGTGGGATACCGGCATCGCAAGCTGCGCCTGAAGCCACTGTGCTGGGGCTTTCTTTTCTGGTTGGTTTTGAAGGGAGTGCTGTGAAACCTGAGCACGGCCAGTAACGGCGCCTTTGCCTTGCAGCTTGCTGAAGTCCACGCCCAAGGTGCCGACCACCCCGGTCAAAGCCAAGAGGGTCAGCACCTTCCAGGAGTTTGAGAGCAACACCAGTGACGCCTGGGATGCCGGGGAAGACGACGACGAGCTGCTGGCCATGGCAGCCGAGAGCCTGAACACCGAGGTGGTCATGGAGACGGCCCACCGTGTCCTGCGTGACCACAGCCAGCGGCAGGGACAGCACATGGCACAGGAGGCACCGGCTCCCGAGGCAGAGCCGCCCGCAGCCCCAGCTAGTGACCTGCGGCTGGTGAAGTCTGTCAGCGAGAGCCACACGTCCTGTCCTGCAGGTAGGAGTGAGCACGGGACAGGTGAGGTGCGTCTGTTCAGGGCTCGGGCAGGACCCCAGCCCTCTCCTTCCTCTGTGGAGGGCGCAGAGAGCTCCTGTTCTCATTTATACCAGGACTCATGCCTGCGAGCCCTTGGGGCGATCTCGGCAGCACCCCCGGGCAGGAAGAGCAGCCCAGCCTCTGCCCGCAGCCTCCCGTCCCCATCTCCCCATGCCCCCTGCGTTTCTCTCCCAGATGGAGCAGCAGCAGAGGCCGTAAGTGAGCACAGGCCTTGGGACACCATGTCCCAGGGTCGCTGGTGGCTCAGGGGTGACGTTGCTGCTGGGGGTCCTGTGCAGGGCCCAGCCCTCCTAGGGCACTGCGGTGATTCCTGCCAGGGGTGCACTGTGGCTCAGGAGGCTGACTTCATGGTCGCCTCCTCACAGTGGGATTGTGTCTGTGTCTCCTCTCCATGGTACTGCTCCTGAGGCTGTGTCCGCCCTTCTCTGCCTGGTGCAGGCACACTGTCTGCCGTGTCAGCCTGGCTAGCACCTGCAGGGGTGCATCACGTGGGGAGAGTCCCCCGGCCTCAGCGCCAGTTGTTGGACGGTTGGCGTGAGGATGGACGGGCCCCGGGACTGGGTGGTTGGTGCTTTTCCTGTTCACATTGCCAGGGAGACCTGCTGGTCTGTCTTCCCGTTCCCTTGGAGCACTTTGCTGTCACTGTACCCTCAGAGTTCCACCTGCCGCCTCGTAGAGTGGGGGTCAGAAGGGTGGTGTGCTCAGGAGCGAGTGGCCCTCGGGGGCTCGGAGGCCACACTGGTCCCTCTGAAGCCCACAGGCACCTTTAGTCTGAGGTGGGATGTGGAGCTCTTCGTCCTGCCGAGTCTTTCCATGGAGTCACAGGTGAGCTAAAGCCGTAGCTCCACAGGAGAGAAGGGCCACGATCACCACCCCTGTCCTCCCACCCAGGCCCAGGGCGAGGCTGCTGGGGAGACCAGGCAGCAGGGAGGACAGAGCTGTGCTCTGAATTGCATGCCCCTGTGTTAGCAGCTTTTCTGGAAACTGAACTGGGCCAGATTCTGCCCACAGGCCATAGGTGCTTTGCTCCTGGATTGCCTGAGGGTTTCCCTTCCAGGCCCGGCTGGGCGGGCGCCGCCGGCACTGCTAGCCTGCTGCAGCTGCCGACAGGGGACTTCAGCGTGTTGACTCCGCTGCGTTGCTTCCTTGCTCCATTTCCTGGAGTTTATTTTTCACCCTATTCTACTCTTCAAGGCTGGAAAAAGGAGGTGGCTGGTAGGAGACAGCCCCAGGGCCCGTTGCTGGTTTGTCCTGGTGGTTCTGTTCTCCTCCCTGAGCTGTCCCCAGATCCACGTTGCTGGGCATAATGTGGCGTCTCACTCTGTGTGTGCAGTAGCGGGAGGTGTGGTGGGTAGGGGTGGTCTCTGCCTGTGGGGAGGTCCTGGTCTCTTGTGGGCCCTCGCTGTGGCTCCCCGTCCTTGGTGCATGGGTGGGCATCGTCCTTTCCCTCCATGGTGACCCGCTGGGCCACGCGAGCCCGTCCCGGCAGGTCTTCTGCATTCTGTCACCTGGGCAGGCCGGATCTGCCTTCCAAGCACCCATGGGAGCCTGACCACCACCACATGCTGATGTGGTCTCAACTTCTCTTTCATCACTCAGCTTTTATGTGGTCGTGTCTGTTTTGTTGATGAGTAATGAATACTCTGCCAGCGAGGCAGGTGAATTTCATAGGTGTCTGTCCTGTTTTCTTGTTCATGAAATCAAGGTCCTTGGGAGGAAGGGACAGTGCAGCCTGACTGTGTTCCCAGAGGGTCAGCGGCACAGCAGGTGTGAGACTGCCCTGTGAAGGAAGAGCGTGAGGTCGGAGTGGTCAGGAGACACCCTCACCCTCCCTCTGTGTTCTCTCGCCTCCTACAGAAAGTGCCAGTGGCGCGGCCTCTCTGCAAAGGTCCCAGTCTCTCCCACACTCGGCCAGTGTCGCCCTGGGTGGGACGGCTGACCCAAGCACCCCTGGCAGCTCAGCGCTGAGTGAGAGGGAGGCCTCTCGGCTCGACAAGTTCCAGCAGCTGCTTGCCGGCCCCCACACAGACCTCGGTAAGTCTCCTGCAGTTGCTTCTCGCTGCCCATGAGGAGATGGTGTTCTGCAGCGACCCACGCTTCCACGGGTCTGCCCGGTCAGAGGTGGACATGACTGTGCTCCCGTGCCAGAGGCCCCCGGGGCTCTGTCCTCGTGCTTTCCTTTGGACCTGTTTTGTTGATACTTTTCTTATTCTTGAAAAAGTGAATTAATTAAATCAAAAGGCAGAGATCTTTCATCTGCTTTTTCTCTCTCTAAATGGCCATAGCAGCCAGGTCTGGGTCAGACTGAAGCCAAGAGCCAGGAAGTACGTCTGGGTCTCCCACAGGGGTGATGGGCCCAAGTATTTGGGCCCTCTTCCTCTGCTGTCCCAGGAGCAGTAGTGGAAAACTGGATCAGAAGTGGAGCAGCCGGGACATGGACTGGCACACTGCAGTGTAGGGACTGCTGGTGTTGCACGCGGTGGCCTAACTCCCGGTGCTCAGTGCTGGCCTCTCGCTAGTGCACTTCGATTCGGTCTCATGACGCCGTTCCCGTTCCCGTTCCCTCTTAACTTCCAGTTGACTCTTACTTGTGCTCTGGTGAGCTCCTTGGGACTGGCCAGGCTCTGTGGAGCGTTGTGAAGACAGCGGCTCTGAGGCACAGGGCTGGTGACCGGCACCCTGACCTGCCTTGAGGTGGGTGGGGTATGGGGATTGGTCAGCCCAGAGGGTGACAAGCAAGGAACAGGCACAGGGACATGGTCGCCCATGTGATTCATCCTGGGGAGCTGTGGGGAGGCACACAGTCCCCGAGCCAGCCCTGAGCTCCTGGTGGGGCTCTGGGGACTGCACCGACCCTCCAGGCTGTCTAAGGGAATTCCCCCTTGAGTCGCTGTCCTGTCCTGTGGCCCATCTTTGAGTGCCACTCTGTACTAGGTGTTTACTCAGTGCTGGAGCTTTCAGGAGGATCGAGATGTGGCCATGGTCCCAAGATCACACAGCTGGGGGGAGCAAACCGCCAGCCGACCATTGTGGGTGGTGTCAGTGGCGCTCTGAGACCCAGAGAGCTGGGAGGTGCAGTGCTCAGGGTGGCCAGGAGGTGGCGAGTAGGGCACGCGAATGGGCTGGCTGCAGGCTGAGCTCAGCTGAGGCCGCTGCAGCTTAGGCGAGGAGAGTCTGAGGCTGAGGGGTAGGGCAGAGGCAGGCTGCCTGGCTGGAGAGGGCAGCTGGGCAAGGTCTGTAGCCAGGAAGCTGCAGCTCCAGTCCCGAGCACAGCTGTCGTGCTGGGCTGGGCTTCTTCCGAGTTTTATTTGTGCATTTGAACCAGCAACAGTGCAAATGTTAGGAGAGCACCATGCACAAAGGGCGTACGTGAGAAGGTGCGCAGTCCCCGTGCCCACCCCTGCTGGCCCAGGTGTCTCCTGGTGACGGCCGCCCATGGACAGACTGTCCACTGTTTCGTTTTGGTGTGATTCCAGCCTTACACAGAAGTGGCCAGGGTGTACACTGCCCCTCACTGCTCTTCATGCAGGGTCGCCAGCTGTTTGCATTTTGCCCGGGTGCCATTCTGTGTGTGTATGTGTATTTTTTCCAAGCCCATGTGAAAGCCAGCTGGAGATAGCGGATCCCTGCTCCTGAACACACTGTGTATTTCCTAAGAGCAGGATGTACGCTCAGCGTGAACGTAGCAGTGTGGAGCAGCGAAGTCGGGTGCTTGTCGTCGACACAGTCCTGTTTTTATGACCCTGTTACAGCACACAGTCCGTAGTCACGTGTGCCACTTGTCCCAACAGTGTCCTTTGTGTCTCTTTCCTGGTCTAGAATCCAGAGCAGGATCCTGTTCGTTCAGCTGTGGTTTCTCTGAGACAGTAACTCGACCCCCCCCCCCCCCCCCCGCCGTGAATCTAAAGTTTTGTTTATTTGAGAGAGGTGGTGGGGGGCTCCCATCTGCTGGTTCATTCCCTAAGTGCCTGCAGTGGTTGGGGCTGGGCCAAAGTCAGAAACTCAGTCCAGTTGGTCTCCCGTGTGGGTGGTGGGAACCCAACCCCTTGAGCCGTCATTTGCTGCCTCCCAGTCAGAGGTTGAGTGAGGACTCAGACGCGGAACGAGGCCTGCTGGGTGCGGCCTGCCCGCGCGTGCTCTGCAGAGCACGGGCCAGCGATTTGGCTGACTGTCCCTTGGCTTCTGGGATGTCTCTCATGAGGAGATCCAGGTAATCGCTTTTGGCAGGAGCATTACCCCTAGATGTGTTCTTCTCATCACAGCAGGTGGCTGCGGGGCGGCTGGTGTTGGCGCAGGCGCTGCCGAGGCTCGGTGTGATCACTTGGTGTGGTGGCGCTCCCGGCTCCTTCCCAGAAGAGCCACTTTTCCCCTTGGCAGTCAAGTGACTTGCAGGGAGGTGACTTGAGGTCTGTGTCTATGCAGCGCATTTTCTTCTTCCTCACGGTGGTGACCTTCTTCTGCATGTGGGTTTTGGGGTTCAGCTCTGTACTTGCCCACAGTCTTGGGGTGTTCTGCAGTCGCTGTGCCGCGGACGCCCCAGTCATTTCACCGGCCCTCCTGACGGGCGTGGCGGTTAGTTCTCATCTTTGATTCTTCCAGGCAAGCTGAGAGCTTTTCTTCATGCAGCTGAGCCCCATCCTGCAGGGTGACGTTCATGGAGGTGTGGGCGGGGGCGGGGGCGAGGGCACGCAGAGGGTGGCCTGGGAACTCCTGGCGGGAAGTCCCATCTGCTGAGATGGGAAGTCATGGTGCTTTGTGCTTCAAGGAGCTTCATCTCGCGGGCTGAGTATGAGTCTCAGCCACTTCCCTTTCTGGCAGGCCACCACACCTTCTCTGCAGAATCCGACACTTCCAGGCGGCTTAGGGAGGCAGACTCTAGGTGCCTGAGCGGAGAGCTGGCCGTGCTGCCCACTCGCCATGTGGCCGTGCTGCTGGTGAGCATCCTGCGCCTGTGTCCGTGTGTTTCAGACAGGTGCATACATACATGTATACATACATGTATAGACATGTAGAGTATAGCATCCCAGTGCTGCAGGGTGAAATCACGTACAGGGCCAAGGAGAGGGGCCGGTGCTGTGGCGTAGCTGGTAAAGGAGCTCCCTACAGTGCGGGCATCCCATATGGGCGCCTGCTCCACTTCCAGTTCAGCTCCCTGCTAATGCTCCTGGGAGAGCAGCAGCAAATGGCCCAAGTCCTTGGGCCCCTGCACTCACGTGGGAGACCCAGAAGAAGCTCCTGGTTCCTGGCTTTGAATCGGTCCAGCTCTGGCTGCTGTGGCCATTTGGGGAGTGAAACAGTGGATAGAAGATCTCTCTCTTTCTCTGTATCTCAGTCTCTGTAACTGCCTTGCAAATAAATAATCTTCAAAACAGAACAAAACAATGCCAAGGAGAGTGCCCAGCACGTAACGGACCGTCTGGAGTTAGTTACTCGTTAGTGTTGTTAGTTAGTTAATCGTTAGTATTGTTTTTGTTCACGTTTGCCTATTCATCCCCCAGCTTGACAAAGTGGTTGCTTTATGACTGTTGATAAGTCAGGGCAGCTTGCAGGTGTTTTCTGGGTTGTGTGCAGTGGTTTTTCAGCAGTAGGCGGCTGGCAAGGATGAAACTTGACTTGCCCCATGCGAATCCTGCTGGGGTCTGGCTCTGAGCACCACCTAGAGTCTTCCTGTGTCTCTGGTGAGTAGAGCAACTTTTGGAAATTAAAATTATGCTTAAAAACACATCTTTCCATGTGGTGCAGTGGGTTAAGCCGCCATTTGTGATCCCCACTTGGCCTCTGGTACCGAAGCACCAGTTTGAATTCCCACTACTCTGCCTCCAGTCATGCCCTTGCTAATGCACCTGGGGAGGCAGTGGATCATGGCCTAAGGACTTGGGTTCCTGCCATCCGTGTGGGACACCCAGGTGGCGTTCTTGGCTCCTGGTTTTCTGCACTGGCTATTGCGGCCATTTGGGGAGTGAAGCAGTGGATAGAAGATTTCTTTCTCTATCTCTTAGTCTCTCTTTCTGACTATCTCTTCCTATTTCTCTGATGGTCTGCTTTTTAAATAAGCAAGTCAACAAATCTTTTTTAAAAAAAATAGAGCTTTCCAAATGTAGAAAATATGTGTGTACATGTAAAAGCCAAATGCTTTGATGGATTTTTGGGATTATGTTTTTCCCCCTTTTCTTCAGAATTCTATTTAAATATCAAATCTAAAACCAAAACACTAAAGCCAGAGCCTTCAAAGGTAAACAGTTACTGGATTTGTATTTAGTGGTAAGAGAAAACACGGTAGTTTGCCTGTTTTTATAAGATGTTTAAGATGCCTCCGAAGACAGTGGAGTATCTTATCTTCACAGCTTGTAACAGATACAGATGGAGAACATTTGAGCAGTTGGAGGGGCAGTTCAGCCCCGGAGGGGCTCCTGCCTGCCGAGTTTCGACCTGTCTGGCCGACGGTGGAGTTCTGGGCTTAGCTTATGCTCTCTGAGCCTGGGGATGAGAGTAGCAAATAGAACTTAACAGCTCATTCTGCTCTTAGTGTCGACTCAATATTTGCTCACATGAAGGCGTCCTGCCTTGAAGCCTGGGAAAATGGCACTTGTGGGTATTCGTCTGTGTCACGTGTGTGGCTGATGAGTGGCGTGTGTTCGGCAGGACGCAGAGCACGCAGGGCCCGCGGGGCGGGTGCATGGAGCTCCGCCCCAGCGCTCCAAGGCACGAAGGCCGTGGAGCACAGGCACTAGCCTGCCCCTCGAGGAGGGGGCCGGGGCTCACTCACATTCTGGGCCCCTCGGTGAGCCTCGGCCGGGGTGAGAGTGTTCTGTAGCCGGAACTGGGAGGAGCGCACACTCAGAGTCTGCGGTAGACGCCCTGGTAGGGCTGTCTCCGGCAGGCCTGGCGCCCTGGCTCACTGCGTGACCAGCTCTGTCTCATCAGCTGGACCGACCTCGCGGGTTCCCCGTGCTGGGGAGTGAGTGTAGGTGAAGTCACCCCTTCGGCCAGTGTTTGTGGAGCACCTGCTGTGGTTGCAGGCAGCTGGAGCGAAA